GGCTTTCGCGGATCATATGACTACAAGATGATTGCTCGCATTAATCCGTTTTGGTTGACTTTTGAACCACCAAGCGATACATCGTATTATATAATGGGGACCTTGTACACGATTATATTCGTGTTTGGTGTAACCGGCAATGGATTGGTTATCTATATGTTTGCTAGGTAAGTTGAGATTATACTCTAAGATCCCTAATAATATGTCAAGGATTCGAAAGGTTTCCTTTAGATCTTGTTCAATTACTAGTTCTATTCTAGTTCAGTTCTAGTTCAGTTCTAGTTCAGTTCTAGTTCAGTTCTAGTTCAGTTCTAGTTCAGTTCTAGTTCAGTTCTAGTTCAGTTCTAGTTCAGTTCTAGTTCAGTTCTAGTTCAGTTCTAGTTCCGTTCTAGTTCAGTTCTAGTTCAGTTCTAGTTCAGTTCTAGTTCAGTTCTAGTTCAGTTCAAGTTCAGTTCTAGTTCAGTTCTAGTTCTAGTTCCGTTCCAGTTCAGTTCTAGTTTAGTTCTAGTTCAGTTCTAGTTCAGTTCTAGTTCAGTTCTAGTTCAGTTCTAGTTCAGTTCTAGTTCAGTTCTAGTTCAGTTCTAGTTCAGTTCTAGTTCAGTTCTAGTTCAGTTCTAGTTCAGTTCTAGTTCAGTTCTAGTTCAGTTCTAGTTCAGTTCTAGTTCAGTTCTAGTTCAGTTCTAGTTCAGTTCTAGTTCAGTTCTAGTTCAGTTCTAGTTCAGTTCTAGTTCAGTTCTAGTTCAGTTCTAGTTCAGTTCTAGTTCAGTTCTAGTTCAGTTCTAGTTCAGTTCTAGTTCAGTTCTAGTTCAGTTCTAGTTCAGTTCAGTTCTAGTTCAGTTCTAGTTCAGTTCTAGTTCAGTTCTAGTTCAGTTCTAGTTCAGTTCTAGTTCAGTTCTAGTTCAGTTCTAGTTCAGTTCTAGTTCAGTTCTAGTTCAGTTCTAGTTCAGTTCTAGTTCAGTTCTAGTTCAGTTCTAGTTCAGTTCTAGTTCAGTTCTAGTTCAGTTCTAGTTCAGTTCTAGTTAAGTTCTAGTTCAGGTCTAGTTCAGTTCTAGTTCAGTTCTAGTTCAGTTCTAGTTCAGTTCTAGTTCAGTTCTAGTTCAGTTCTAGTTCAGTTCTAGTTCAGTTCTAGTTCAGTTCTAGTTCAGTTCTAGTTAAGTTCTAGTTCAGTTCTAGTTCAGTTCTTGTTCAGTTCTAGTTCAGTTCTAGTTCAGTTCTAGTTCAGTTTTAGTTCAGTTCTAGTTCAGTTCTAGTTCAGTTCTAGTTCAGTTCTAGTTCATTTCTAGTTCAGTTCTAGTTCAGTTCTAGTTCAGTTCTAGTTTAGTTCTAGTTCAGTTCTAGTTCAGTTCTAGTTCAGTTCTAGTTCAGTTCTAGTTCAGTTCTAGTTCAGTTCTAGTTCAGTTCTAGTTCAGTTCTAGTTCAGTTCTAGTTCAGTTCTAGTTCAGTTCTAGTTCAGTTCTAGTTCAGTTCTAGTTCAGTTCTAGTTCAGTTCTAGTTCAGTTCTAGTTCAGTTCTAGTTCAGTTCTAGTTCAGTTCTAGTTCAGTTCTAGTTCAGTTCTAGTTCAGTTCTAGTTCAGTTCTAGTTCAGTTCTAGTTCAGTTCTAGTTCAGTTCTAGTTCAGTTCTAGTTCAGTTCTAGTTCAGTTCTAGTTCAGTTCTAGTTCAGTTCTAGTTCAGTTCTAGTTCAGTTCTAGTTCACTTCTAGTTCAGTTCTAGTTCAGTTCTAGTTCTATTCGAGTTCAGTTCTTAGATTTTAAATTTTATTATTTCAGATGCAAAGCATTACGGACCACTTCCAATATATTAGTTTTCAACTTGTCTCTAAGTGATTTAATGATTGTCATCAAGTGTCCTGTTGCAATTTATAATAATTTTATGCGTGGACCTGCCCTAGGAGATTGGGGTAAATAATTTTATATATTCCCTATAATATTTTTGAGAAACTAATTGAGACAATACTTCATTTTTACTTTCAGGTTGCCGTTTATATGCATTTGCCGGCGGATTTAGTGGCACAGCCTCTATTTGCCTATTGACTGTCATCTCTGTAGATCGTTATAGTGTCGTAGTAAATCCTTTAAGTCCTATGCGTTTTAATTATCAATCAAAATATTATTATTTTCTTGTACTAATAGCCTGGCTAGAAGCTTTTTTCTTCTCTGTTATACCGCTACTCGAAGTGGGTCTATCGGTTTATGTGCCCGAGGGTTATTTAACCACCTGTTCCTTTGACTATTTGGACAAAACCATGCCAGCACGGGTGTTTATGTTCTTATTCTTCTTCTTTGCCTGGTGTATACCGTTGATGATTATATTCTATTGTTATTTTCATATCCTGCGAGCCGTGTTTAAATCCAAGAAAATACAATGTAGTCACAACAAACAAAAAGTTGAAGAACGTTTAGCATTCATTGTATTGCTTATTATTGGTTTATGGTTTTTGGCTTGGACTCCTTACTCCATAGTTGCTATGGCAGGGGTTTTTGGCATGGAGGAATATTTGACACCCGATCGTTCCATGATTCCGGCCTTGTTTTGTAAAACAGCTGCCTGTCTGAATCCGTTTCTCTATACAATTTCTCATAAGAGATTTCGCAATGAATTGCAACGTTTGTTCTGCAAACGTAAACCAATTTATCAATATTCTATGACACGTTCTTCCTATGTTACTCGCTCGACCAGACGTAATCGCATTGATCCGGCGGTGTTGGATAATACAAATGCTAAACAATTGGAAAAATATCGTAATAATTTAAAATCAAAATATCTATAGATAATGCCACTATTGGTGGTGTAGTCAATTGTAGTCTTTATGGCGCTAGTGAGGCAGCAGCAGATATTTTCCATAAACGAAAACGTCACAAGAAATCTTCAAATTTTGGGAAGAAACAAATAAGTCCGGAATTGTCTTCGGAAGAACCTGGTATTTTGTTCTAGAACTAGGCGATTACAAAACTCCCAAGACACAACCCTCATTAGAGACTAACTTTTAAAGGAGTAGTTCAGTTTTAGTTCAGTTCTAGTTCAGTTCTAGTTCAGTTCTAGTTCAGTTCTAGTTCAGTTCTAGTTCAGTTCTAGTTCAGTTTCTAGTTCAGTTCTAGTTCAGTTCTAGTTCAGTTCTAGTTCAGTTCCAGTTCAGTTCTAGTTCAGTTCAAGTCCTAGTTCAGTTCTAGTTCAGTTCTAATTCAGTTCTAGTCCAGTTCTAGTTCAGTTTTTTTGCAGTTCTAGTTCAGTTCTATTGCAGTTCTAGTTCAGTTCTTTTTCAGTTCTAGTACCAAAATAATACTCATTATCCAGCCAAATATTTGTAGTAGAATACTGTAGAAACGTATATTTTCGAATACGCTAAATATTGACATATTTATTTGACTTTTCCATATCGAATTTAATTTCAAATGTTAACATATTAAGGAGTGCTTTAAGAGTTTATTTAGTAGATCTAAGAAGTTAAATACGAGAGAGCTTTAAATTTTGTAATAAAAAGTTTATAAACAATTATAAAATAACAACTAAAATTCTAGAATTATTAACTTAAATATTGTAAATGTAAATAAATGTATAATAGCCGTAAGTACAATGTTAAATTTAGTTACAACTGTTTGTTTTTAAGAAAAATACCACAATATTATCCATATTATCCGAGTTAGACGAATCCGTTTATGTGCTTGAAAGAAGTCGCAAGATTTTTTTTATAAGTATTTCCGATTAATTAAAACTCACAACATCGATTTTGCTCTGAGAGTTTACTACATATTAATTGACTTTTATCAATATCCAAAATATATCCTTTATGTTTTTGCTTAAATGTAAGCAACTTTATTAGAACAATTGCATTTTGCACACAAATTTTGTTAATTTTTTATTTATTATTAAGTTCTTTTAAAACAATGTAGTTTTTACAAAACCAATAAACAAAAAGTAATTTTTTATATGGTAATAATGAATGTGATAAAAAAAAAACAATTTACATATTTACAATGTAAATAAGTTAATGTTTCCTTTCAAACTAAAATTTAGAAAAGTTTTTCAGAACAAAGGATTATGAGCGATTTTTAAAGTGTGCTTTTCAGTTATATGTAAGAAAAAAGATTTATAATCAAAATAAAATAAGCACAAAAAACTTGTATAATAAAGTGTAGTTTTGGAATCGAATACATTAACAGGTAAGATCAAAAACCATATTATTCTCTTTAATCTAAAATTACGAAATAAATGAAAATTACAAATTACTCCCAAGAGGCATAATCTTCAGAAGATTTTAGAAGTAGTTCAGTTCAGTTCTAGTTCAGTTCTAGTTCTAGTTCAGTTGTCAGTTCTAGTCTAGTTCATTTTAGTTCAGTTCTAGTTCAGTTCTAGTTCAGTTCTAGTTCAGTTCTAGTTCAGTTCTAGTTCAGTTCTAGTTCAGTTCTAGTTCAGTTCTAGTTCAGTTCTAGTTCAGTTCTAGTTCAGTTCTAGTTCAGTTCTAGTTCAGTTCTAGTTCAGTTCTAGTTCAGTTCTAGTTCAGTTCTAGTTCAGTTCTAGTTCAGTTCTAGTTCAGTTCTAGTTCAGTTCTAGTTCAGTTCTAGTTCAGTTCTAGTTCAGTTCTATTCAGTTCTAGTTCAGTTCTAGTTCAGTTCTAGTCAGTTCTAGTTCAGTTCTAGTTCAGTTCTAGTTCAGTTCTAGTTCAGTTCTAGTTCAGTTCTAGTTCAGTTCTAGTTCAGTTCTAGTTCAGTTCTAGTTCAGTTCAGTTCTAGTTCAGTTCTAGTTCAGTTCTAGTTCAGTTCTAGTTCAGTTCTAGTTCAGTTCTAGTTCAGTTCTAGTTCTTCTAGTTCAGTTCTAGTTCAGTTCTAGTTCAGTTTCAGTTCTAGTTCAGTTCTAGTTCAGTTCTAGTTCAGTTCTAGTTCAGTTCTAGTTCAGTTCTAGTTCAGTTCTAGTTCAGTTCTAGTTCAGTTCTAGTTCAGTTCTAGTTCAGTTCTAGTTCAGTTCTAGTTCAGTTCTAGTTCAGTTCTAGTTCAGTCTAGTTCAGTTCTAGTTCAGTTCTAGTTCAGTTCTAGTTCAGTTCTAGTTCAGTTCTAGTTCAGTTCTAGTTCAGTTCTAGTTCAGTTCTAGTTCAGTTCTAGTTCAGTTCTAGTTCAGTTCTAGTTCAGTTCTAGTTCAGTTCTAGTTCAGTTCTAGTTGTTCTAGTTCAGTTCTAGTTCAGTTCTAGTTCAGTTCTAGTTCAGTTTAGTTCAGTTCTAGTTCAGTTCTAGTTCAGTTCTAGTTCAGTTCTAGTTCAGTTCTAGTTCAGTTTTAGTTCAGTTCTAGTTCAGTTCTAGTTCAGTTCTAGTTCAGTTCTAGTTCATTCTAGTTCAGTTCTAGTTCAGTTCTAGTTCAGTTCTAGTTCAGTTCTAGTTCAGTTCTAGTTCAGTTCTAGTTCAGTTCTAGTTCAGTTCTAGTTCAGTTCTAGTTCAGTTCTAGTTCAGTTCTAGTTCAGTTCTAGTTCAGTTCTAGTTCAGTTCTAGTTCAGTTCTAGTTCAGTTCTAGTTCAGTTCTAGTTCAGTTCTAGTTCAGTTCTAGTTCAGTTCTAGTTCAGTTCTAGTTCAGTTCTAGTTCAGTTCTAGTTCAGTTCTAGTTCAGTTCTAGTTCAGTTCTAGTTCAGTTCTAGTTCAGTTCTAGTTCAGTTCTAGTTCAGTTCTAGTTCAGTTCTAGTTCAGTTCTAGTTCAGTTCTAGTTCAGTTCTAGTTCAGTTCTAGTTCAGTTCTAGTTCAGTTCTAGTTCAGTTCTAGTTCAGTTCTAGTTCAGTTCTAGTTCAGTTCTAGTTCAGTTCTAGTTCAGTTCTAGTTCAGTTCTAGTTCAGTTCTAGTTCAGTTCTAGTTCAGTTCTAGTTCAGTTCTAGTTCAGTTCTAGTTCAGTTCTAGTTCAGTTCTAGTAGTTCAGTTCTAGTTCAGTTCTAGTTTAGTTCTAGTCAGTTCTAGTTTAGATCTAGTTCAGTTAACCCATTATGAGCGATTTTTATAAGTGTGCTTTTCAGTTATCTGTAAGAAAAAATATATTTATAATCAAAATAAAATAAGCACAAAAAACTTGTATAATAAAGTGTATTTTTGGAATCTAATACATTAACAGGTAAGGTCAAAACCATATTTTTCTCTTAAATCTAAAAATTACGAAATAAACGAAAATTACAAATTACTCCCAAGAGGCATAAATCTCCACAAGATTTTAGACGTAGTTCAGTTCTAGTACAGTCCTAGTTCAGTTCTAATTCAGTTCTAGTTCAGTTCTAGTCAGTTCTAGTTCAGTTCTAGTTCAGTTCTAGTTCAGTTCTAGTTTCAGTTCTAGTCAGTTTCTAGTTCAGTTCTAGTTCAGTTAGTTCAGTTCTAGTTCAGTTCTAGTTCAGTTCTAGTTCAGTTCTAGTTCAGTTCTAGTTCAGTTCTAGTTCAGTTCTAGTTCAGTTCTAGTTCAGTTCTAGTTCAGTTCTAGTTCAGTTCTAGTTCAGTTCTAGTTCAGTTCTAGTTCAGTTCTAGTTCAGTTCTAGTTCAGTTCTAGTTTCAGTTCTAGTTCAGTTCTAGCAGTCTAGTTCAGTTCTAGTTCAGTTCTAGTTCAGTTCTAGTTATTCTAGTCAGTTCTAGTTCGTCTAGTTCAGTTCTAGTTCAGTTCTAGTTCAGTTCTAGTTCAGTTCTAGTTCAGTTCTAGTTTAGATCTAGTTCAGTTAACCCTTTCGAACTGCAGGGCTTAAAATCTGAGAGCGTAATAAATTTATTAAATGAGAAAGCGTAAGTGAGCACAGTGCAATTAGGGAAAAGTACGCCAAGAATGCAAGAGCAATTAGTAATAAACTATTTATTTCTTTATAAAAATAAAATAATAATTAGAACGAAAAAAGAACCACAAAATAAAACAAAAATTGTTTAAAGAAATGAAACAATTATTTTTAGCTTTAAGGAAACTGTAAACAAGTAACAATTAATACACCAATAGGAAAATAACGGTATAATAAAGTTAAACTTTCCACTTGCTCTTAAAGATACATGTTCTCCTAAAAAAGGTAAATTTCCTAAATAAGAGAGAACAACAAAATAATAACACGAGATAGAGAGAAAAATACAAAAAACGGAAACATTTTTTGCTACAATTTCGCACAGAAATTTTAGTTGTCTGTGTAAAGCTGCTGTGCGATGTAAATTTTTTTAGAAAAGATTAAAAAAGCAGAAATATTTTTTAAAATAAAATTAAAATGTTTAACTAAAAATTCATAAATTACAAAAAATCAAAATAAATTTTATAAAGTGTTTCATAAGCGGAAAATATACATAATCAAAAAGTATGAATGAATAAAAAATACTTTTAAATGTTTGAAAATCCAGCATGAAAATTTTTATTGCTTTGGAATACCAGCAGAAAAAATGGATGCTGTGTGCAAAATATTATGTGTATACGTGGATAATTTGTTATTGTTAATACATGTTTATTAAATTATAGAAAATATATTGTGAAATTTTAGTGTACACAAGAAATAACGCAAATTGCAATTGATTTCATAACATTAAAAGCAAAAGAAAAATTACAAGAAACAAATGTATACACGAATAATTAATGAATGTCTAAAAAAAAAGAAAAACACCAAATAAGAATTTCAATTTTGTTTTTTTTTTTTTCTTGTTACAATTATGTGTGTATACTTTTACCGGCATCTCGGTTACTAACCTCGTTCTTATTTGCGATTTTTGTTGCTTTTTTATTTACTGTTTTTGTTTGTTTTCTTTCGTCTTTGCAAAACATAACACGATTTATTTGTTTACATCTCTTTCGTTTAGAGCATATGATATGCGTTGTTGTTAAGAGTTGCCATCTATAAGAGGAGATATTTCTTCTTCTGCATGTTGTTTTTCGAAAAAAATTTAAAAAGTAAAATTTTTGTAGCCTGACATGTTATCCTCTGGACGAAAACATTTTTTACGTTACATTTTCAACAAAAAAATTGGTAATGAAATAATATTAATCTTGTAAAGAACATTGCTTACCATTTGCATTACTTGGAAATAGCTAAGTGGTTGTAGGCTTACAATACATTAGATTCCATCAAACAATAACAACTAATAAGTATGCTTCATATAATCTGTCCACAGTACTTGTTGAGTTCTAGTTGAATTCTATTTGAGTTCTAATTGAGTCCTTGTCCAGTTCTGTTCAGTTCTAGTTCAGTTCCAGTTTAGTTCTAGTTCAGTTCCAGTTTAGTTCTAGTTCAGTTCTAGTTCAGTTCTAGTTCAGTTCTAGTTCTAGTTCAGTTCTAGTTCAGTTCTAGTTCAGTTCTAGTTCAGTTCTAGTTCAGTACTAGTTCAGTTCTAGTTCAGTAGTTCAGTTCTAGTTCAGTTCTAGTTCAGTTCTAGTTCAGTTCTAGTTCAGTTCTATTCAGTTCTAGTTCAGTTCTAGTTCAGTTCTAGTTCAGTTCTAGTTCAGTTCTAGTTCAGTTCTAGTTCAGTTCTAGTTCAGTTCTAGTTCAGTTCTAGTTCAGTTCTAGTTCAGTTCTAGTTCAGTTCTAGTTCAGTTCTAGTTCAGTTCTAGTTCAGTTCTAGTTCAGTTCTAGTTCAGTTCTAGTTCAGTTCTAGTTCAGTTCTAGTTCAGTTCTAGTTCAGTTCTAGTTCAGTTCTAGTTCAGTTCTAGTTCAGTTCTAGTTCAGTTCTAGTTCAGTTCTAGTTCAGTTCTAGTTTTTCAGTTCTAGTTCGTTCTAGTTCAGTTCTAGTTCAGTTCTAGTTCAGTTCTAGTTCAGTTCTAGTTCAGTTCTAGTTCAGTTCTAGTTCAGTTCTAGTTCAGTTCTAGTTCAGTTCTAGTTTTCAGTTCTAGTTCAGTTCTAGTTCAGTTCTAGTTCAGTTTAGTTCAGTTCTAGTTCAGTTCTAGTTCAGTTCTAGTTCAGTTCTAGTTCAGTTCTAGTTCAGTTCTAGTTCAGTTCTAGTTCAGTTCTAGTTCAGTTCTAGTTCAGTTCTAGTTCAGTTCTAGTTCAGTTCTAGTTCAGTTCTAGTTCAGTTCTAGTTCAGTTCTAGTTCAGTTCTAGTTCAGTTCTAGTTCAGTTCTAGTTCAGTTCTATTCAGTTCTAGTTCAGTTCTAGTTCAGTTCTAGTTCAGTTCTAGTTCAGTTCTAGTTCAGTTCTAGTCTCAGTTCTAGTTCAGTTCTAGTCAGTTCTAGTTCTTCTAGTTCAGTTTCTAGTTCAGTTTCTAGTTCAGTTCTAGTTCAGTCTAGTTCAGTTCTAGTTCAGTTCTAGTTCAGTTCTAGTTCAGTTCTAGTTCAGTTCTAGTTCAGTTCTAGTTCAGTTCTAGTTCAGTTCTAGTTCAGTTCTAGTTCAGTTCTAGTTTCGTATCTAGTCAGTTCTAGTTCAGTTCTAGTTCAGTTCTAGTTCAGTTCTAGTTCAGTTCTCGTTCAGTTCTAGTTCAGTTCTAGTTCAGTTCTAGTTCAGTTCTAGTTCAGTTCTAGTTCAGTTCTAGTTCAGTTCTAGTCAGTCTAGTTCGTTAGAGTTCAGTTCTAGTTCAGTTCTAGTTCAGGTTCTAGTTCAGTTCTAGTTCAGTTCTAGTTCAGTTCTAGTTCAGTTCTAGTTCAGTTCTAGTTCAGTTCTAGTTCAGTTCTAGTCAGTTCTAGTTCAGTTCTAGTTCAGTTTAGTTCAGTTCTAGTTCAGTTCTAGTTCAGTTCTAGTTCAGTTCTAGTTCATTCTAGTTCAGTTCTAGTTCAGTTCTAGTTCAGTTCTAGTTCAGTTCTAGTTCAGTTCTAGTTCAGTTCTAGTTCAGTTCTAGTTCAGTTCTAGTTCAGTTCTAGTTCAGTTCTAGTTCAGTTCTAGTTCATTCTAGTTCAGTTCTAGTTCAGTTCTAGTTCAGTTCTAGTTCAGTTCTAGTTCAGTTCTAGTTCAGTTCTAGTTCAGTTCTAGTTCAGTTCTAGTTCAGTTCTAGTTCAGTTCTAGTTCAGTTCTAGTTCAGTTCTAGTTCAGTTCTAGTTCAGTTCTAGTTCAGTTCTAGTTCAGTTCTAGTTCAGTTTCTAGTTCAGTTCTAGTTCAGTTCTAGTTCAGTTTAGTTCAGTTCTAGTTCAGTTCTAGTTCAGTTCTAGTTCAGTTCTAGTTCAGTTCTAGTTCAGTTCTAGTTCAGTTCTAGTTCAGTTCTAGTTCAGTTCTAGTTCAGTCTAGTTCAGTTCTAGTTCAGTTCTAGTTCAGTTTCTAGTTCAGTTCTAGTTCAGTTATAGTTCAGTTCTAGTTCAGTTCTAGTTCAGTTCTCGTCAGTTCTAGTTCAGTCTAGTTCAGTTCTAGTTCAGTTCTAGTTCAGTTCTAGTTCAGTTCTAGTTCAGTTCTAGTTCAGTTCTAGTTCTTGTTCAGTTCTACATCGTTCAATTCTTCTTTTTTTGTAGGCGTATGAGTATTAAAAATTGCTTTAATTAAATTGAATATTAAGTATACGTAACAATGATATTTTTCAATTAAGATTATTTCATACAAATAAAATAAAACTTAACTAACAGCGCCGTTTAGTCACCAAAAAGGCTTTAAAAGAAACGATTTCCAACAATTTAACCCTTAAGTGGCTTCACTGTGGTATTTACTAAAGGCAACTCTAACACAATTATCCAAAAATAATTTATGAATATAAGAACTTAATAATCATACACACCTATATATACTTAAATGCAACAAAATTATTATGCATATAAATCCAAAAATACTTATTTTATGGCAGCCAAAAAAAAATAATAGGCGAAACTATTATCGAACAAACATTTTAGTAAATTTTATTTATAATTTAAATGCCTTTACTTCTCATATATCAACAAGCTTTAGCTCTCTTAAAACACCAATCAAATTGCTCTCTTTCTCTTAATAAATGAAGCAAAGAAAATTAATTTCAAATATGGCTGCTATAGAAACACATTGAAATCTTTTTAAAATTTCCCAGCAGTGCCCCTTTTAGACAGAAATTTTTTCGTATTTTTTTAGAACAGAGTAATGTAGTTAGTTAGTTAGTTAGTCCAGCAAAAAAGTTTATGCAGAAAAGAGAATTGAAAATTTGTAAACAAAGTGAAGGGTAACATGTGTATTGCAGGGTTTATATTATAAAATATAATGTGTTAGTAAGCATGTGTGTGTATTAACATTGCACGTGCAATAATATTTACTTTTCGGAACTTTTTGCTTTATGTATTTTGTATAAAATCAACATTCATACCTGTCATTAAATAAAATGTTTTTTTTTATAAATTAAGTATAATTTGTATATAAAATTTATAAAATGAAAAAAAAACATGATTTGTACACAATGTAATTAACAGATGTGGGGAAACGTAATGGCAACAATAATAGCGTCGAATGTTATACTTAGTCAACGAACTACCAAATTGTCTATAAAAAATGTGTATAAACATTTTCTGACAAACTTGCCCATCATTTTTTACCTAGCACCCAATATCTAGGAACCATAACAACAGTTTTTTATAATCCTTTAATAAGTAACCTAAACATTTTATATAAAACTTTTCATTTCTAATAAACGCTCTTATTTTGAACACAACTTTTAAGCTCATTAAAATATTTAAAATATCAAACAAATAAACTGTGTGTATGAATGTGTGTTATTTCTATACATTCTAATTCCCAATAGTCGTGTTATATTTTTTTAACAATAACACTAGCAACACCTAAGCAACCTTTGTCAACAGTCTCTCATGCAAATCATATGTGTAAAGTTATTGTTGGTTTTTCTATTCAAGTTTTTTGTAACACATCACTTCAGTCAGACTTCAGTTCAGAGCATTTAAATATATTAAAGTTATACAACATAATGGTGAGTGATATTAATAGACATATTAAATATTAAAATAAATTTCAAATTGTTTTCTACTATATGTATGTAGGCGTATGAGTGTTAATTGATTTTTTACTTGAATTGAATATTACGTATACGCAACAAGTGATATTAAATAATATGATCTTTTCAAACATGACAACAAGTAACTGAAATTTACATTTATTGCAAAAAAAAACCTTTTCTGGATATGAGTTAAAGTAATTTCTTTGAAGGTTATCTTATATGAGGGTTAGGTTCAAATATGAATGAACCCTAATAAAATTTAGTAGGGAGACTTCGGTCTATATAAAACATGTTTTGTCTATTTTCATAACTGCAGAAGAAGACAGTTTTTAAACATTAAAGTAATTTTTCTGAATTGATTCATATATGAGAGATTGGATCAATTATGGACTGAAATTTAGTAAAGAGATTTTCGTTGCCTTATATTGGAGGTAGGGCCGATTATGGTCCGATAAACATACATTACAACATAATTCTTGATTGCATAAAACCAAATTGTGCAAAATTTAAGTCACGATTTAGTATAATTATCAATGTTATGACATTTCAAAACAGTACTTTAGAAGTCCTCTTCTATGGAGGCTAGACGGTCCATATATATACATATATATTTAAGCTATTAATCTCTGACCATTGCTGCACCGTTTCGTAACTTGCGAGATGCAAATGTATCACTTTACAATCAACCAGATGGAATAGTTGGCCAGGTCTATAGTCTAGTCTAGTCTACAGACTAGTCTATAGTCTAGTCTATAGCTAGTCTATAGTCTAGTCTATAGTCTAGTCTATGTCTAGTCCTATAGTCTAGTCTATAGTCTAGTCTATAGTCTAGTCTATAGTCTAGTCTATAGTCTAGTTATAGTCTAGTCTATAGTCTAGTCTATAGTCTAGTCTATAGTCTAGTCTATAGTCTAGTCTATAGTCTAGTCTATAGTCTAGTCTATAGTATAGTCTATAGTCTAGTCTATAGTCTAGTCTATAGTCTAGTCTATAGTCTAGTCTAGTCTAGTCTATAGTCTAGTATATAGTCTAGTCTATAGTCTAGTCTATAGTCTAGTCTATAGTCTAGTCTATAGTCTAGTCTATAGTCTAGTCTATAGTCTAGTCTATAGTCTAGTCTATAGTCTAGGTCTATAGTCTCAGTCTATAGTCTAGTCTATAGTCTAGTCTATAGTCTAGTCTATAGTCTAGTCTATAGTCTAGTCTATAGTCTAGTCTATAGTCTAGTCTATAGTCTAGTCTATAGTCTAGTCTATAGTCTAGTCTATAGTCTAGTCTATAGTCTAGTCTATAGTCTAGTCTATAGTCTAGTCTATAGTCTAGTCTAGTCTATAGTCTAGTCTATAGTCTAGTCTATAGTCTAGTCTATAGTCTAGTCTATAGTCTAGTCTATAGTCTAGTCTATAGTCTAGTCTATAGTCTAGTCTATAGTCTAGTCTATAGTCTAGTCTATAGTCTAGTCTATAGTCTAGTCTATAGTCTAGTCTATAGTCTAGTCTATAGTCTAGTCTATAGTCTAGTCTATAGTCTAGTCTATAGTCTAGTCTATAGTCTAGTCTATAGTCTAGTCTATAGTCTAGTCTATAGTCTAGTCTATAGTCTAGTCTATAGTCTAGTCTATAGTCTAGTCTATAGTCTAGTCTATAGTCTAGTCTATAGTCTAGTCTATAGTCTAGTCTATAGTCTAGTCTATAGTCTAGTCTATAGTCTAGTCTATAGTCTAGTCTATAGTCTAGTCTATAGTCTAGTCTATAGTCTAGTCTATAGTCTAGTCTATAGTCTAGTCTATAGTCTAGTCTATAGTCTAGTCTATAGTCTAGTCTATAGTCTAGTCTATAGTCTAGTCTATAGTCTAGTCTATAGTCTAGTCTATAGTCTAGTCTATAGTCTAGTCTATAGTCGAGTCTATAGTCTAGTCTATAGTCTAGTCTAGTCTATAGTCTAGTCTAGTCTATAGTCTAGTCTAGTCTATAGTCTAGTCTATAGTCTAGTCTAGTCTATAGTCTAGTCTATAGTCTAGTCTATAGTCTAGTCTATAGTCTAGTCTATAGTCTAGTCTATAGTCTAGTCTATAGTCTAGTCTATAGTCTAGTCTATAGTCTAGTCTATAGTCTAGTCTATAGTCTAGTCTATAGTCTAGTCTATAGTCTAGTCTATAGTCTAGTCTATAGTCTAGTCTATAGTCTAGTCTATAGTCTAGTCTATATCTAGTCTATAGTCTAGTCTATAGTCTAGTCTATAGTCTAGTCTATAGTCTAGTCTATAGTCTAGTCTATAGTCTAGTCTATAGTCTAGTCTATAGTCTAGTCTATAGTCTAGTCTATAGTCTAGTCTATAGTCTAGTCTAGTATAGTCTAGTCTATAGTCTAGTCTATAGTCTAGTCTGTCTAGTCTAGCTATAGTCTAGTCTATAGTCTAGTCTATGTCTAGTCTATATGTCTAGGCTATAGTCTAGTCTATAGTCTAGTCTATAGTCTAGTCTATAGTCTAGGTCTATAGTCTAGTCTATAGTCTAGTCTATAGTCTAGTCTATATAGAAAAATAAAGTCATGCATATAAGATCTTGATGGAATGAACATTTATACACTAACTTTGTGGGTACTTTTTAGTTCTTCAACTAGTACGTTTTGCACGTTTTAAACCTAGAAACATAGAATAGAAAATGGACTTTCTGTTACGAAAAACGGATCCTACCACCAATCCTCCTATGCAACGACCCGATTCTTGATCGGCCAAAGATTGTCAACCCAGCGACAGCTGAATCACCATAATCAATCATAATATTAAAACTTTGAACAAATTAAGAAATGCTGCATTCCTTCGATATGATTCTCTGCTAACATGGAGAATGTCCTCAATACAATGCGACTTCTTTAAGGCATAATTTATCAGCCTAATATCATCGTTTAAATACCGATTCGATCACCAATCTCTAGAATCAGGAATATTTTGCAATATTTTTTTTGTAAAATATCCTCTCGAAACACCATATATCACATAGCAGAGTAATTGTACTTATCTGATTATTATTGGTCAGACATACACCTCGTAAATTTCTAACAAGGTCAATCCATTATTAATCATATTATTAAGTTAACTTAGAAATGTAACACTCTCCATGACGATCCTCTCTCTTACTGCCAAACAATACTCGGTTGAGTCAACACTCCGGCAAGGACTATAGCAATAAATGAAAGAAAGTCGGAATGATTGTAGTTATTCCTTCTTGGTTTTAGCAAATTTTTGTTCATTGCTTAAAAGATTGATCAGATTCCCCAGAACGAATGCATTATCCATACTGATATTTACATATAAATAACACTTTTATTAATACAACTACTAAAGTTCATATTTACATTTTTATCATCAAATAAAATAGCTTAAAGCTGTTAACACACATAACTTTAAAATATTTAAATAGTATTTGTTATTAAATTTTTATTTCGATTACTCACACTACACCCACGCCTTTCAACTATAATCAAGCTGAAGGTTAAACAAAAACAATTTTAACAGGAAATTTTTAAATCCTTTTTTCTTTTTATTTCATTTTACAAACCTCTGCTTTCATGTACATATTCGAGCACATATTTCGCACTTGTAACAAGTGTAGTATGTAGTGGCAAAAACAAATACAATTTAAAGTCTCTAGCAATTTGATGTTCATATTATTTGATTTTTAAATTGTAGCAAAAAATGTTTGATACCAAATGGTTGCCTGCTGCGTGTGGTAGTTTAGCACCAGCTCTTATACCACCCGCTCACATAGTAATACTCTGGTATTTTTGGGAGAATTATGCGCGTTATGTTGATAAGCACTTTTGTACGTGTTCATGCTGGGATACAGTCTTTAAGGGACCCTACGAATCTGGTGTGGCCTCCTACAAGCACATGTATTTCAATGCCACACAGAATACCTTTAAAATGTGGCTGTTGACTGTTTTCGCCGTGATTGCCTTGTATGAATGTATAAAACGTTTGATAGCGCTCATATTGCAGCAACGTTTACGCTACAGCATGTTGGTTCTATTTAGTCTATCGATATTTTCACATTATTATGCCTGGTGGGCGTATATGAACTATTACAATGATGACTACTATCAGCAATGGAATCATCAATTATTTTTTACGGTAATATTTTGGGGTGTTGCAAAAATTTATGTTTATTTTGGGAGTAATTGTGTTTTTTTTTCTTCTTATTTCTTTTTACAGGTAACCGAAATCATATCAACTGTTATGGTAATGCATTTAGCCGATAGCACGAATACTGTTACTACCAAAAAGATATTTTGCATTGTGGGCATTGCCATTTTGCACATTATCGCCAGCAGTTTTGATCAATTCTTTTTCAATGTCTTACGCGGTGAAGGATATGCCCATCAAATTGTACGTGATATAGGTTTTATGGTGCCGGACATCATGCAATTGGTTATACCACTCTGGCTGTTGAATCGTACGCGTAAAGAATCTTATATAACAAGACCCTTCTACAAAGATCGTAGTCTACATAAAGATATTGTAGCCATGATGTTTTTTGTCATCGCTCTCTTTGTGGTCTGCACAATATTGTGAGATAAACTTTTCCAATGGCTTATCGACCATATGAAAAATTTCAAAGGTGGAGATGTAACACTACAACCTGGTGATGAGGCTGTTGATTAAAGTCCTAACAAACTGGAAATCATTGTTATGGTGTTCCACAGAAACATCAATATTTTTTTCTCTATTAAAATGTATATATAATAATTACAACAACATAATTTTTTTACAAGCATCAGAACAAAACGTGTGACAAAATTCATTGAATATGGAAAAATGGAAACAGAAACTTTAAGATACAAATGACAGATTGCTGAAGTTAAAAGGAAAGTAGAGTAAATGTAAATTTTTATACGTCGTAAATCAATTACAAATTGTTCAAGTGAGTAAGTATTAAGTTCGTTATAATGTTTTTATTTTAAATTTATAATTTTCAATTAATCACAAATTCAAATTTATATTTTAAAACCGACTGGTAAAACAAAAAAAAACAAATCTATACATATATGTAACTGCAAGAGCGTATATTGACGAAGTAGAGCGAATTGTTTGACACTCTCTCGATCTTATGAATGTCAAACTTTGAAACATTATTGAACACGCGTTTGACTTTGTCGAAATATGATTTTGCATAGACATGTATAGAAAAGTCTTAATAAAAACTTTTCATTAATATATAGTATAAAAAAACCAAGTTGACCAAAATTGACAATGGAATCATGTGATTTTTTAACAGTAATTCGAAAGTAAACATTTAACTTCATTTGTCCTTATTGTGTAAAACAACGAAATAAAACACCGAACAAAATGCAATGATTTCAACAGAATCGAAACTTTAAACTGATATGAAATATGTCCGATAGTTAATTCGAGCAACTACATTAATCCCATGAACTATAAGATTCTGCCAAATCTACACTTAAAGGGGCTCTAGAGGCGTGGCCACAGCTAAGGCAATAAATAACTTTTGTCAATTTAAAATTCAAAACAAAAAATCTCTTTATTTAAATCACATGAAAAAAAGCTTTAAGAAAACTTTACTTTTTTACATATTAGTGATCTTGTCAAAATCGATGACATTTCAATTTCCCAAAAATCATACGATTCCATTTCATTGTTTTATAAACTAACTATAAAACTTGGTAACTAACACAAAAAAACAATATTTATTATTACCAACTAGATTTTATATTTGATGTACGAATCTGTAAACCAGCATTAGTGTTTTAATTTAAATCTTAGCACAAAATTTAAAGAAACTTATAATATTAAGTAGAATTTTATATATATAATTTGTATTTTAATTTCTTAGTGCAATTAATGCATATCAATATTGAATACATATTATTAGTAATTTATTATTTATTTAGACCACAAAATAGTTATTCCAAATAATTTTAGCCTAATTCCAATCAGCCCAGTTCACGGAAACTTTTTTCTAGTATTATTCTAGTTCAGTTCTAGTATTATTCTAGTTCAGTTCTAGTTCAGTTCTAGTTCAGTTCTAGTTCAGTTCTAGTTCAGTTCTAGTTCAGTTCTAGTTCAGTTCTAGTTCAGTTCTAGTTCAGTTCTAGTTCAGTTCTAGTTCAGTTCTAGTTCAGTTCTAGTTCAGTTCTAGTTCAGTTCTAGTTCAGTTCTAGTTCAGTTCTAGTTCAGTTCTAGTTCAGTTCTAGTTCAGTTCTATTTCAGTTCTAGTTCAGTTCTAGTTCAGTTCTAGTTCAGTTCTAGTTCAGTTCTAGTTCAGTTCTAGTTCAGTTCTAGTTCAGTTCTAGTTCAGTTCTAGTTCAGTTCTAGTTCAGTTCTAGTTCAGTTCTAGTTCAGTTCTAGTTCAGTTCTAGTTCAGTTCCAGTTCAGTTCTAGTTCAGTTCTAGTTCAGTTCTAGTTCAGTTCTAGTTCAGTTCTAGTTCAGTTCTAGTTCAGTTCTAGTTCAGTTCTAGTTCAGTTCTAGTTCAGTTCTAGTTCAGTTCTAGTTCAGTTCCAGTTCAGTTCTAGTTCAGTTCTAGTTCAGTTCTAGTTCAGTTCTAGTTCAGTTCTAGTTCAGTTCTAGTTCAGTTCTAGTTCAGTTCTAGTTCAGTTCTAGTTCAGTTCTAGTTCAGTTCTAGTTCAGTTCTAGTTCAATTCTAGTTCAGTTCTAGTTCAGTTCTAGTTCAGTTCTAGTTCAGTTCTAGTTCAGTTCTAGTTCAGTTCTAGTTCAGTTCTAGTTCAGTTCTAGTTCAGTTCTAGTTCAGTTCTAGTTCAGTTCTAGTTCAGTTCTAGTTCAGTTCTAGTTCAGTTCTAGTTCAGTTCTAGTTCAGTTCTAGTTCAGTTCTAGTTCAGTTCTAGTTCAGTTCTAGTTCAGTTCTAGTTCAGTTCTAGTTCAGTTCTAGTTCAGTTCTAGTTCAGTTCTAGTTCAGTTCTAGTTCAGTTCTAGTTCAGTTCTAGTTCAGTTCTAGTTCAGTTCTAGTTCAGTTCTAGTTCAGTTCTAGTTCAGTTCTAGTTCAGTTCTAGTTCAGTTCTAGTTCAGTTCTAGTTCAGTTCTAGTTCAGTTCTAGTTCAGTTCTAGTTCAGTTCTAGTTCAGTTCTAGTTCAGTTCTAGTTCAGTTCTAGTTCAGTTCTAGTTCAGTTCTAGTTCAGTTCTAGTTCAGTTCTAGTTCAGTTCTAGTTCAGTTCTAGTTCAGTTCTAGTTCAGTTCTAGTTCAGTTCTAGTTCAGTTCTAGTTCAGTTCTAGTTCAGTTCTAGTTCAGTTCTAGTTCAGTTCTAGTTCAGTTCTAGTTCAGTTCTAGTTCAGTTCTAGTTCAGTTCTAGTTCAGTTCTAGTTCAGTTCTAGTTCAGTTCTAGTTCAGTTCTAGTTCAGTTCTAGTTCAGTTTAGTTCAGTTCTAGTTCAGTTCTAGTTCAGTTCTAGTTCAGTTCTAGTTCAGTTCTAGTTCAGTTCTAGTTCAGTTCTAGTTCAGTTCTAGTTCAGTTCTAGTTCAGTTCTAGTTCAGTTCTAGTTCAGTTCTAGTTCAGTTCTAGTTCAGTTCTAGTTCAGTTCTAGTTCAGTTCTAGTTCAGTTCTAGTTCAGTTCTAGTTCAGTTCTAGTTCAGTTCTAGTTCAGTTCTAGTTCAGTTCTAGTTCAGTTCTAGTTCAGTTCTAGTTCAGTTCTAGTTCAGTTCTAGTTCAGTTCTAGTTCAGTTCTAGTTCAGTTCTAGTTCAGTTCTAGTTCAGTTCTAGTTCAGTTCTAGTTCAGTTCTAGTTCAGTTCTAGTTCAGTTCTAGTTCAGTTCTAGTTCAGTTCTAGTTCAGTTCTAGTTCAGTTCTAGTTCAGTTCTAGTTCAGTTCTAGTTCAGTTCTAGTTCAGTTCTAGTTCAGTTCTAGTCAGTTCTAGTTCAGTTCTAGTTCAGTTCTAGTTCAGTTCTAGTTCAGTTCTAGTTCAGTTCTAGTTCAGTTCTAGTTCAGTTCTAGTCAGTTCTAGTTCAGTTCTAGTTCAGTTCTAGTTCAGTTCTAGTTCAGTTCTAGTTCAGTTCTAGTTCAGTTCTAGTTCAGTTCTAGTTCAGTTCTAGTTCAGTTCTAGTTCAGTTCTAGTTCAGTTCTAGTTCAGTTCTAGTTCAGTTCTAGTTCAGTTCTAGTTCAGTTCTAGTTCAGTTCTAGTTCAGTTCTAGTTCAGTTCTAGTTCAGTTCTAGTTCAGTTCTAGTTCAGTTCTAGCTTCAGTTCTAGTTCAGTTCTAGTTCAGTTCTAGTTCAGTTCTAGTTCAGTTCTAGTTCAGTTCTAGTTCAGTTCTAGTTCAGTTTCTAGTTCAGTTCTAGTTCAGTTCTAGTTCAGTTCTAGTTCAGTCTAGTTCAGTTCTAGTTCAGTTCTAGTTCAGTTCTAGTTCAGTTCTAGTTCAGTTCTAGTTCAGTTCTAGTTCAGTTCTAGTTCAGTTCTAGTTCGTTCTAGTTCAGTTCTAGTCAGTTCTAGTTTCAGTTCTAGTTCAGGTTCTAGTTCAGTTCTAGTCAGTTCTAGTTCAGTTCTAGTTCAGTTCTAGTTCAGTTCTAGTTCAGTTCTAGTTCAGTTCTAGTTCAGTTCTAGGTTCAGTTCTAGTTCAGTTCAAGTTCAGTTCTAGTTCAGTTCTAGTTCAGTTCTAGTTCAGTTCTAGTTCAGTTCTAGCTCAGTTCTAGTTCAGTTCTAGTTCAGTTCTAGTTCAGTTCTAGTTCAGTTTATTTTCAGTTCTAGTTCTGTTATAGTTCTAGTTCAGTTCTAGTTAAGCTCCAATTCAGCTCCAGTTCAGTTCTAGTTCAGTTCTATTCTGTTCTATTTCTGTTCTGGTTCGGTTCTACTTCAGTTCAGAACGATTAAAAAAAGCATAATTTCTTTATTCTTCTGATTTAAAATTATTCTAAATCATTTGGAATAAAGATAAAATATAATATTAAAAAGAAAAAATATCGTCTTATTATTATTTAGGAAAACAAATTTTCCTAAAAATATATTCTATAAATCTTTTTTAAATGACTATAAATAACACCGATCTATAATATCAGTTTTAGTAATATTCACAAAATATTTAATTGTTTTCAAATTTGTTACAAAAACGAAAAAAAAATCAAACGTAAATAAGCAACAAATAGACAATAATTAAAACCAATAACAAGAACAGATACAAAAATATACAATAATTTGTTATTGAGTAATGTTAGAAAAATAGCTTTTAAAAAAGAAAACACTTTCAAAGGTTTCTAACGAAAAATAGTCCATCTCTTTCCCCCACTTACATTAAATCGTAAACTCAAAGAGGTACTTAGTTTATCTAACTTTTATACCAGATAAACAAATAAATATTTTGTGAATAATAACTTTATGTTTTAAGTATTAAATTAACAACGATATTAAACTATATTCATAAATGTTAAATTTTAGAAAAAGTTTAAGGAATTCTTAGAAATTATATCCTTAAACTCTTTACAAACGAAAAAATAGATTTTCTTCAAAATCTAGTATTACTCATTTTAGTAGTATTTATTTATGTCTTTATGATTTGTAGTATATTTTAGTTTTTATATGAACATAAAATATAATCAAAATCATATACACTTAGTATTACTAAAAATTAGTTAAAGACTTTAAACAAAAATATATCATTAAAGCAAAACAAAATAATAACAAATAATTAGCCTTAGAATTTACTTAGAAAGTATTAAACAAATGTGTTTATTACAATAATTGAAAATAAATGTTAAAAGCAAAGAAAAAAGCAGACAAGAAATTTATATTAAATATACAGTTAATTTAAACCCACCTTTTTATTATTTACACGACACTTTTTGTGAAAACTTT